TGTAATGGCTCTGTGACCTTGAAATTTCAGAGTACATCCTTTTTAACAAGGAGAACAGAGATAGCATAGGTTTAAAAGTATGTTTTTTAAAAACTGTTTTCAGTAATCATAACTGGCGGTGATACTAGTATTTTGTCTGAGTCTACTGTATGTGTACTGTGATGAAGCACATGAGAGACATCAGGGTAATTTCATTCATCCTCTGCAGTCCTTTGAGAACTGGGATTCAGAGCTGGAAGAAAGGAGATAGAGCTATAACATTAAAGAGGTTAGGCTGAAATTCTTTAAGTCCTCAATTTGAATAGGAAATATTAAGATGAAATCACAAGGTATTATATATATCTTTACATTTTATGTATATTCTAGCCCATTTACTGCAGTGTCAAAAACAATGATCACCTGGTTAACAATGAGGGTTCCTAGCATCCAGACTGTGATCTAGAAATTCCATTTTCCCATTAAAAGAAACCAAAGCTTCTGAGATAAATGGCTGATTTGAGGTGTGGGGCAAGATGTTTAAGAGGAACCTTGAACAACTTAACATGCCAAACAGCAAGGGGGCTACCAAAAACAATGAGGGTCACATCAGAAGGACTCACGACCTTGAAGAGGTTCCCAGTAAGACTGGATGACGGAGCACTGAGGTAAGAATGTAATGCACCTAAACCCATGATGCTCAAATCCATGAGTTCAACATGAAATGAAAGGGGTGGGGGAAGCTAGTTATCTTCTGAGGAACATAGAGAGCCAATTCATTATCTTGAAAATTGGATAAGTAAAAGGAAAGAAGCATTTATCCTGCTTTCCTATATGAAGCCTACTACTGGGTAACTAAGCAGCAGGTAAGAGAGCATCATCTTAAAAAAGTTTTACCAGCTAAAAACTGAACACAAAATAATACAAATTAGTATCCCCATTTTGTGACCCCTAATGAATTGCTGGATCTAGCTGTGCTGTCAATAGCTTCACAGATAAAAAAGAACAAAACCCAGACATCTTGACATCATCTGCCTCCTGACAGAAGAATGTAACACTAGCTACAGTCTAAGAGGTTGAAGCTACATCTGATCACACTTCAGGATCCAGCTGCCAATGTGCAGGGAATTCAGAGGACAGGGGAGCTTGCTAAACTGCACCATAAGCAAGCAATCAGAAAAATTCAGATGGCTGAAAGATACAGGTCAAAGGTCAGGCTTCTTCAACAGTTTCATTGTTAAGGACAAGATAATGATAGAGGGCAAACCTACTTAAAAGACACACCAAGTTTTTTAAACTGACAAGACAAGCTAGAGGGTCTGGAGATGGACACTTGGGTGGTTAGAATCATGAGAAAGGCAAGGAAGTGAGTATCACAAAGGTCAGGATACAGGAAGGCAGGAGCTGTCACTGGCCCAGCACAGGACGAGTCGGAGTGGACGGGAGAGTTCTCTATGTTGAACTGGTGGTGGCCACAGGGGTTCACTTTGTAATGAATCACTCAAATCACCCGAATTCACTAAACTGTTTAGTGTGTTTTATAATACAAAAATCGTTTTACAAGGGCAGTATAACAATGCTGGAGACACTAAGGGATGGATCAGAGGTTCTTCTTCAAGAGAGGGTGAGACCCTTCAGTTTAAGATTTTGGCATGAGGTCTAAGTAATGTTCCTCATCCTCAGCAAAATGTGTCTGCAGCCATTAAAATGATGAGCTCAGCAGGCACAGTAATCAGAACAATTCCTTTTAACAGCAGCATATTTCTTTAATATGCTTTGGCTGCCAAAACGATGAGATCCCAGGAGGAGCTGTCCTCAGCCAGAAGTCCATGAGGAAAAATGTGTAAATGTTTAAACACATTTAGTTCAGGAATTAATTTATGTTTATGTAAAATAATCTTAATAAATACAGCCCTCCTAAAAACACTGCTGCAAGCCTTCTATCACTACTTATTTCACCATTCCCTATCTGTACTTACTTTACGCCTAAACTTTTCAACATATTTTGGGTTAGGATTTAAAATTAATCCAAACCAATAATTACATTTTAGGGCTAACAAGAACATAATCAACAACAAGAAGCTTTGCACTAAAAAGTACCCCAAAGCCTGGCTTCATATACAACCTACTTTTGGAATCTAAATGAGGGAGTGTAAAGAACTTATTTTTAAAATCTTTCAAGTCGTTTGTACATCTGCAAAAAAAGGACTTAGCAGAGTCCACTAGCCAGAACACACCTTAGGCATTAGTTTGGAAATAAGCACTTGCAAAAAAAGTCTTTAAATTTCTCCATATCTGTTACATATCTCATTTTATCTGTATAACCTTCTTATTTCACTATCACATATAATTCATGCTAGTGGCTTTTTTGGGGGGAGGAGGAGTTATCTGGTCCAGCGGCATTCACAGAATTATTGGAAAACCATTTTACTTCCTCTAAAACCTTCCCACGGAGCAGATGTATCCGCGCACCCCCCCACACACACACACTCTCTCTCTCTCTGACTCACTCACTCATACAAAAGAAAAAAAAGACAATATAATACAACCTCTTGATGTAAAGGCTTAAAAAAGGCTTATCTGTATAGTTAAACTTGATAATGTCCCTAATGGACAACCAAAACTACAATGTCTGCTTTTCAAGCCTCTACATACACAAACACTTTGAAAGCAGGAGGTGAATCTCACTGGCCTGTGGGCATGCCACGCCCTGGGAGCTTACCATAACTGTGCAGTCCTCTGAACCACTGGCAATGACCTGATCATTGTGTGGGCACCAGTCTATGTCGAGCACTGGTCCTGTGTGGCCACATACCGTAGGGTAGGATTTGTCAATTCGACCGGTCTAAAAGGAGAGAAACAAACCTGTTATTTAACATCAACACCAGAGTCTGTGTGTTTTCTCAGAACCACTTTTCTTTTATTACTGCCACCCAAAAACTCCCACCACATGCCTTCTTATGATAACCTTCCCAGTCAATGTCAACTAGCAAGAACCATCACCTTTTATTTCTATGAACAGTTACCACACGAAGGACACTGCTTCAAATTATAAGGATCCAGATTTCTAGAACCACAAAGATTTTATTCAATCAACTGACCCCCCCAATCAATTAATCGGTCATAATCGGTCACACAGTATCAAAAATCACTAGGCCCAGATGGCTTTACAGGTAAGTTTTACCAAAAATTCAAGGAAAAGATAATCTTAGACAAGTCTTCCAAGAGAACAGAAAAAAGAGGAACACTGCTGGACTCATCACCTAAGCAATGTGAAATTTAAGCCCATGACTTAAAATACTGATGCAAAGACCCCTCAACGAAACAGTACAACTAAACCAAATTCAGTGCGGCCTGTTCTCAAAAACATCAGCAAAGTGAAAAGACAAGTTGCAGAGACGAGAAGATACATATGCAACATACATACCTGTCAAAGTCAACAAACAACCTAACAGGATAAAGGGCAAATGATGGGGAATTCACAAGGAAGGAAACCCGACAAGCCAAGAGACCTATGAAAAGATACCTAATCTAACTGGTTACCAGGGAACTGCAAATTAAAACATTTTACACCTATTAAAATTGGCAACAATTTACAAGTCTAAATACAAGTGTTGGGAAAGAGTAACTCATAAAAACTGCTCACAAGAGACTATCTTACCACAATTCCTTTTGAGAGCAATCTGGAATTAGCTGGGGATGAGGATGCCCATCCCTTAGCAGTACCACTTCTAGGTGTGTGTGAGAGAAATGTACTTGTGTTTTGCACAAGAATAATATCAATTGCATCCCTGTTGGGACTGTGACAGTTAAAAAAGCAGACTCAATCTAACTGTCCTTTGGTATGGGAATAAGTATTACCTACATAAAAGTTTGACAAACGTAACAACAGTCTATGTTACAGATACATATACATGTAATAGAAGTACAGCAATATGATACACACAAACTCTGAAGAAATGATTACCTCTGGGGAAGGAGAAAAGAGAAAGGGGAATGGTATTTTAGCTACATCTGTTGTACTTTGTCTTTTAAAAAAGGGAGATATGAAACAAACATGGCAAAATATTAACATCTTTAATTTTGTGGGTCGAGTGTCCTATTTTCTAAAAAAATAATAATAATTAAAATGTAACAAAATTGAGAAACCAATGTATTGTCATGAACTTTGCATTTTAAAAAACTCTACTCCTCAGGAAAAAAGGTTTTCTATCTGAATTATTTTACCTCAGGGTCTTTGCACTCTTAGGCTCTCTCCAGCAAACTGATAAGGAAAATATTCGACACAGCCATCAAGGTCAGCAGAAAACCCTCCGCCCCCCTTTGCTTTTTCTCTCACTCCCCCGGGCTCTCCATGGGCAAAGTCAGCAGAGCACTCCTGGCCACCTCCCCTCACTCCTCTGGGCTCCTTTCACCCTGCTTGCTGCACATGCCAAAATGCCAAATATCAAAGTATGAATTGCTCCCCTTGCTTACGCTCAGGGCTCAGAACTTTGCAGAATCACTCTGCTCCGACCCCACCAGTGTAAAATAAACCTCCACCCTCCAAGACCTCCGAGTGCCACTTGGTTCTTCCGTCAGGGATCCAGTCCAGGTTTTCCGATTTTCCGTAACAAAACCTGACCCAGCAACTTAGTGGCAAAAGGTCACTGAACCCTGAACTTCCAAGGACACCAAATATTTTTTTCAATCTGGACTAAGAAGACCTCCTGCTCAAATTATGAAGCAATGTTGAGGAGAATGTGGGCACTAACACTAGTTGTTCCTAATTATTCTGAGAAGCTTACTAAATGATTTTTTTCTTAGGTTAAAATCACACAACTCTGGCTAAACGTTAAGTTATTCACCAGTATTCTTCAGTCAAGTTAAGATATTTAAGAATAGTAATAATCCTTTCTGCCATTCTCAACTCAGCCCTTACAAGTCTACAAGCAACATAAAAGTACTAGAGCCCAACATCTTCAGAAAAACGTGAATGTCATTTAAAGAGCAACTGCCATTGACTCCCTCCTTTCTTTCAAAAGCAAATAATAAAAACAGCTAATACTTCCAGAGTACTTATATTGCATACTAGGAACTGTATGACGACCTTCGTATCTTCATTCTCACAACTACCTTTACAGTATACTGACTTTATTATCCCTATTTTCTAAGTAAAGAAAACTGACGCATAGAGAAAATCAAAAAGCAGAGATCTAAAATATCACTGAGCATCCATACTAGATTTCTACAGGGAGAGAAATTGTCCACTATGCCACAGGGTTTATAAAAAAGACACAGAAGTAACACTGAAATTGCTGGCTTCTGGTCATCAGAAACAGAGTCAATAAAAAATCGTATCCCACCAACAGCTGCTCCTTCTGGTTGTAATATCAGCATAAATCCTTACAACAAATAAAACTGGAAAGTAGCATCATATTACAGCCCAACAAAATGGGAACTGACTAAATATCTGATAGTGATAAAGGAGAAGAAAGTGTGAGAAGAACTGGCATTTAAATGTGCAATGATTGTTTTACATATAAGATGTTTACAAGCCATGATCAGCTGTCTTGATATTAAGGGCTTATGCTTCCAAGTATCTTCTTACCCATAACAAAATCAAATCAGAAGAAAAGCACAACAGATTTCACCCAATGAGTATATGGTATTAACACGGCTGGAGCTGGGCAATTATAAACTGCTGAGAGATCAAGTATATGGAAACTGCAGGAATCCATACAATGATGGCCTTATATGGTAAAGATGAGGACACACCATTTCTGAGGCATCTTGCACCAGGACCTAATGAGAATGCATTTCGCATTCATACCCACGACACATCCTCATTTATCATCCAGTGAATAACTGAGGAGTCCATTACTAATTTGCTAGATTGTAAAGGAATAGTCACAACTTCACTCATTGCAAGTCATGGTGACAACACCTGTACCTCTAAGCAGTGAATTTAAATGAATGCTGGGGCTGGAAGGAAGATTTACAAGAGTTTAATACCAGCTTTTAAGTATCTCTTTTTTACTAAACGGTGATTTAAGAACCACTCATCAATTTCCCAAGGCTTATATATAGAAATATTTCATTTACTAAACAAATAAGTCCATGTTACATTAAGGATGTGTCACCTTGGTTGCATTACCTAAAATATTACTACTTTTTAAGCATGGAATTGAAAATTTAGCTGGAGTATAGTCAGTCAGCTGTTTAGACTACTTTAAGTCTGGGGAGAGGAAATTCCGGGGCAAAATACCTCTAAAAATCAAAATCAGTCAAAGGGAGAAATAACCCATTTATTGCTTACAAACTGCAGTCCAGCACCATCTCTCTCCCCTGCTCCTGAGGAAGCAAGCAAACAAGCCCCTCCCCTTAACCTCTCAGGTTTGGACATGACCTCGGTGGCCCAGGTAATACCCATTGACATGGAGATGAACTTCTCCCCACCCCTGAGGATATGTGTAATGCACCAAAGCCAGGCAACATACTCTGGAAACGTTACAATTTTACCCACAGGCTACCCCTCCAGAAATCTCACTTTACAATCTACTCCTTCCCCCTCTTCCGCAATGGTCCCTTGGGCGAGAAAACTAGAGCATTGTGACCAGACTAACGACATAACAATAGCAACAGCAATAAAATTATGACAATCCTCAAGACGGAGGATTTGGCTAGGTTCAAAGTCTTATGTGCAGATTAAGTCCACAGCCCATCCATTCCATAGGCAGGCAGTAGCTGAGGGTTCAGAGAAATCATCACGCGGCAGCTGCAGCCAGGGGGCGCGTTCAGGCCACAAGGACTGTAGGAGAAAATAACCTTAAGGGCGAGGCAGAGGCAAATCTTGTCCATCAGGTAGGACACATGCAAGAGAGTGGTCTTGTGATAAAACGGTGGCAGGAATGGGATCTCGTCCCGGTCTAGTGTACCAGACTTTCACCCACCTCCCTGTGGGAGTTAAAGATGGGTTAACACATAGGGCTACGGGAGGTACATGCACTGGCCATAAAAAACTTCCCTGCAAGATGCTCTTACCTCCTGGACATTTTGGGTACACTACTGTGACCTTTGGGGGCCATTGAGCTGTTACTCCAGGAATACACACGAGGCCAGCTTCCAGGACTTTCCCCAAGGTGCCAGAAGGGCCAGCCATTGCTGGTCCATGTGTTGAAATGTCCAGGGCCAGTTCCACTCAACAGTGTCTCCAGGACTTACTGCAGTAGGGGCTGGCAGCAGGATGCTGCTCTACTGGCCATATGCTGGCTTCAGTAGCTCTTCTTTGGTTTGTATGTACAATTGTATACGAGAGGCTGCAAGGTGTGTGAGCATATCCACAGGAATCAAAGCTCCTTTTCGGGGCTTCTCATTCACATGCCACAGCACTGTCCATAGGCGAACTGACCAACCCTGTAGACTATTGGTGTCCGACTTCAGGCCAGATTTCAACACACCGTTGTACCTCTCTATCATGCCTGCCCCAGTAGGATTATATGGTACATGAAATTTCCACTTTATTCCTAATTGCTGCACCCATTCTTGTAACGCATGTCCAGTAAAGTGGGAGCCTTGATCGCTCTCAGTCACCTGCGGCCGGCCATAGGCTGCAAAGAGACACTCCAGGACCCTCTTGGTGGTTTGCTGATCTGCACGATGTGCAGGAAAAGGAACCATAGTCCAGCAGCCATGTCCACACAAGTCCTGGCATACTGATATCCTTCTGATATAGGCAGAGGCCCAATGTAGTCTATTTGCCACATGACAAGGGGTATTGACCCCCTTACTATTATCCCATGTTGCTGTGGGACTCGGTGTAAGTCACTCTTAGAGCACACAAGGCACTCCTGAGCTTTGCTGACT